CCCATCCCTCAGTTCCCCCTCCTCTGCCTGACAGGGCAGGGGGTCCGCCCCCAGTTGTGGGGTATCTCCCTGGTGCCTTTCCCTCTGGCACGCCAGGGAGTTACTCCACCAGTCGATCTCCCGCTCACAGTCCCTGATGGCCCTCAGTCTCTCCACCTCATCTTTCAGCTCGGCCACCATGGGGAGCAGATCTTCCACCATCTGGCACCTCACACAAGTGGAATGTTCGTCACCCTCCCCCGGCAGCAGCAGGCTCTGGCACTCCCTGCAGCCAGAGGCCTGTGTAGCCACAGTTCGGAACAGGCCCTCCGTTTGGGTCGCCACAGGCTTTTTGAGGCAAGCTCTCTGCCTGGTGGAGACCATGGCAAAAACAGTGGTCACAGACTACCAACAGATATGTAGGTCTCACAAGCAAGGATAATTCAAAGGAGGAGGAGTTTTATATAAGGGACTTTGCACCACTTTGTAAGAGAATGTTAACTGTATGCACTGGTGTATGGGAAAGCGTTGGAGTATTGTAATGCTTCTTTTTTAGATATAATGGAAAGAATAAGCAGATGGCTAGACAAAGCTCTCTGAATGTTCTGTCATCTGAGTGCTTGGCCACAACGATTTGTTTTCTGTGAGTCACATGCTAACTTAGCTTTGAAAAGTCTTGTTGTTCATGTCAGCTGTCACAACCAGAACAGTTCTTCTGTCCATGAAAAAACATGGAGACCCCCATTAGCACACTGAGGGGTTTTTTTGCTAGCTGTTTGCTGTTTTTCTCACTGTCATCAGTTCCATTGGGAGTACTGGGATATGTCTGTACTGCATACTGCTATAGCACGTAAAGATACCAGATCTGTCTTTAAATCCTTCAGGTACTGAGCTCGTGTTAAGCCACTAGTATTGCCACAGCAACACGGATAACAGCCGTACTGAACTGTGCTGTAACTACTGCCAGCAGCCGGCCATTAGAACTGCATTTAAACTGTCTGGTGTTGCCATTCGTGCTACAGGCATGAACATTGGTTTCATTTGTTTAGCAGCTTTGAACAGAAGAAAACAACCACCTATTCCTCTGTCCTTAGTTTAGCTAATGGAAGAGTATTTCTGGATTCAAGTCTTTCTGTTAATAGCTGAAATGGTGAGCTAAGGGTTGGCTGGGACGAGTTACATGACAGACGTAAGGGCTTGTGTGATGAAACGTGGCTTTGTATGAGATCAGCATAGTAAGCACTCATAAAGTTGGCTTGTTCTGTTATGGGATTGCTTATTTCTGTGACAGTCTTTTAGTCTTCTGCTAATGTACAGGAGCTAACTGACAGCAGCCACCTTTATCCCCGATCCCTTCCAGGAGCACCATGGTACACGCCTGTTTGGCCAGAACTGGTAATACCGCAGAGCCAGAACACATCTTTCTCCTCAGATCTTCTTGTCAGAAAAGCGTTGCATAAGAAGCAAGGTCGGTTTTCTTAAAAAACTTGGTTAAGAGGTTGTTATTTATATATAAAATGAGCATGTTGTATGGGATCTCAGATTTGATAACTTTCTGTGGTTCTCAGGCAAGAAAGAAGGGTGTAGCTCTGATGTTGCTAGGCTGATGTAGAAGACGCCTGACTCAATTTACAGCTTGCCACTTCAGGACCTTTCTTGGAGTTGGAGTGAAGCTGGTCCTGTGATCTCTACACAGCTTCATTGCCTTGAGATCAAAGCTAAAGGTGGCTGTTTGTGTGGCAGACGTGGTGGCACTATTTCTTGTGTCCCATTCCAATGAATGGCCACAGGAAGTCCACAAGCTGCTGACCTTGGTGCTTGCTTACTTGCTGCTGGGATTTATTCCAGATGTCATACATGAAGAAATTATTTTCCTCCTGGTTTTATTTATAAATGCTTATGCTTGGATTTCCTAGGGCCACTGCAGCCTCAAAGACTTACTGATAACGGCAAAACGGGGAGGGGGGGGGGGCGAGGAACTTTCACCTTGCTATAACACTTCATCCCATTGCTGTAAATTTATGCAACCTCAGCTCTTCAGCATATGACTATTGTTGGTTTTAAGGGAAAGACTTCAGCCCTGTGACAGCTTGTGCTCATTGCCATGATTTTAGGCCTGAAAGTTGGTTAGGGATTGTGCAGTGGCAAATGTAAAGCTGAGAGTTTGCAGGCCTTGCTTTGTCAAAAGGCAAGAATGCCAGGGGTATATGTGTGTGTGGATAGTTCAAAAGCACCATTTGTTTATTTTTCTGGGGTGTTTTATTTGTTTAGCAACCCTTAAACAGTGGTATAGTACCTCATCATCTTTAGGGCAAGAGGAGGGGGGGCATTAAGTGTCTTTTGTTCCGACAGAGCTTTGAACAACTTAAAAAACACATTTGAAGCAGCAATATGACAATCTCCTCCGTGTTAGAAGACCTAAGCCTGTCTTGTAGATGCAGGGGGGATTCAGGCTCAGTGCTGACAGTGTAGCTAGTCAGTGACATGCTGCAAGCACAGAAGGTCACCGACCTTCAGTGACATCAACCAAGCTGAGTTTGAAGACCTAGTGGCACTTCTGTAGCTAATGTTACTACAGCATTGTTCAATAACCTCCGATATATGCTTGGACACCTGGAGGCGGAGCTTTACAGTAAGGTTTCCTCCTGACAAGAACAACATTAGTGTTGGCCCTATTTCAGTATTTTCCTTATTCCCACAGCTAAAACCAACAAGATAGGCTACACTTAAAGTAGGATTCATTACTTCTGTTCTTGTTAACTGCTTGTAAAATACAAAAAGATTACCCTGTTAGATGAAGTGTCAATGCTTTCAAGACTGTCTACAGAGTAAACTCGACAGCTGCCACAAACACGAGCAGGCTGTTCTAGAGGCAATGTGGTATTTCACTGTTCTCCTGGTAGCTGAATTAATAGTATGCTGCTTTGCATCAACGCATGGGCTCCCAGGCTTCCTGCGAGGTTCTGTCAGTTATCCTAGGGGAAGCTAAGGTATAGTCACCCTTGCATTTGATATAGATGTCACTGTGTTGTGCTCTGAAACTTAAAGAGTTGTAGCTAAGTCAGTCTTTCCAGAGAGAGTTGAACTGCCTCTTGTTCAAGTCAAACCTTTCCCAAATGTGTATCATTTCTAAATGGTCTTTGAGAATGAAGACTGCAAATGCATTTTTACAAGGAGATTATATCATCAGAAATACTTGGGTTGTTGTCTTTGCTATTACTTCCTTACCTTGAACTCTACTGTACGTTGTCACAGCACATAGCACAGGAGCCTTACTCTGATAGCTTCTGCTGATCTCTGGATTTCCCTTCCAGACATCAGTATAGGGAATTGTAATGGAAAGGCTCACATCAGCATAGATGGAGACTGAATGGGAATATCCGTCTGGATATGGAGCAGCAGGAGGACATGGTAGGGAATGAGTGCTCTTGAGCAGCCTGTGTAAACAGCACGCAGATGAGCTGGTCAGCAGGACTCCAGCACCTTTGCCTGCAGGTTCACAAGGTGACCACAATCTGGAAACAAACAACACAGCACAAGTCTGGGCTTACAAAGTTAGAGCTGATTTTCTCTCACTCCTCCTTTCTCTCACTCACTCCTCCATTTTCCTTTCTTCTATGCTGATGCCTTTTTGCTTCCCCCCCATCTTTATGACTTCTTGCTTTTTCTCACTTGCACATTTTTCTTCCTTTATCTGTTGTTGCTCTTGCACACTTCTTCACAAGCTTTTTTTTTTTTTCCCTTTTGTTGCTTGTGGTTTTTCTTTTTTTTCCCCCCTCCTTTCTTGCTCATGCTTTGCCCACACATACACACTTGCTTGTACTCTTCCTTCTCTTTTTTTTTTTTTTCTTTGCACTTGCTCTCCTTTTCTTCTTCTCTATGACTACTGTTGCAGTAGTCCTTCACGAAAACTTTCTAGGATTCATGCCAGGTCAGTGATTTATGATGTATATACCTTGGGATAATGACCAAAACTAGTAACAAACAATTCTCAGAGGCTGCCACAGATTTGGTAGAAGCGCAATTGCAAGCAAAATTTGGCATTTTTCCCAACTGGAAATGTTGACTGCAAGAATTCAGTGGAAATGTAAAGGAAAGAGTAATATCACTCTCCAGATACAATACTGATATAATGCTGTATCCACAGATATGGTGATACAGTATTTACTGCAAAATATCCAGGAGCCCACTGCATTTGCAGAATTTAAGTATGTACAAACACAAAACTTGCTCCTTTACAAGTGTTGCTTATCTTTGGAGTGCTTATCTTCAGATTACCTGGGAAGGAGGTTCCTAGCAGTACCAGAAAGCGCAAGGAATTGACTATAAATGTAAGATTATAGGGTGGAAGACAAACAATTCTTTACAGAGCTAGTTGACAGCAGGGCCAACAGCATTCAGTGGTGAAAGGGAGGCCATATGGGTGGATTCCAGGATTTTTGACGCTGCAAACACAAAAACAAAGCTTATGGCTGATAGATTTGTTTTTATTATTATAGAACAGATGAACTAAAATAAGCCAACAATATAATTTTATGCCAACAGCCATCTTTCTAGCACAGGCGGTGACTGACTCAATGTACCCTTCTCCCCTCTCCCCGAGCCTCTCTTCAATGGGAAGTAAGTAGCGGTGGCTCTTGCACATGGGTTTGGGACTCCAGTGATCTTACTCTTTTAGTTGTAGAGGTGTGCCTGGGAAAAGACGAGGCAGGGGAGCAGAGAAAAGAGTATGTATGTTGTAGGAGCAATAAGCAGAAAGGCTTGTGGATCCTCTTGCATGTTCATGTGTTGTGACCAAGGAGATGGGACAATGGGAGAATCATGACCACTTTCAACATGTAGCAAGCCCCTAGAGTTGCTACTCAAGCCAGGAGTTTCTTCCTGTTCCAAGCTAAAAAAGGGCAAGATGCACTCAACTGGGGAGTTTTTGGCAGGGTAAGGGGCAGTCTATGTAAAATCAAACCAACAAAAACCACCCCCACCCCCCACAAAAAAACCCAAACAAACCTGCGTTTTAAGCCACTTCAAAGTAAAAGTCACTCCTTATAATATAATAGATATTTTTTTAAATGGCAGGACCACCATCCTAGAAAGACAAAAGGCTTGCACTCAAGACCGAAGAAAGAAAAACAAAAAAACAACCAACGAAACAAACAAAATAAACCCCAAAAAAACCCAAGAGTGGCCCCACTCTCAAGCTTGGCTCTTCTCTAAAAACAGCACTCATCATCCATCTGAATAGGTAAAAGGAGGAGTGGACAGAAAATAAAATAAAATTGGTGCAACTTCTCGCCAGGTGGCGCATTAAACCAAAGCTCCATACAGTCCCGTACGACTACGCGTCCTGTGGTGGCAGCATAATTCTTTCAGCTTTCATTGCTGTATATGTCTGTATGTATATCTGAACATATACATACACACAGAATATATAATATTGTTTATAATGTTAGTTTTGATCCTGCAGGAGGGCTCATCTCTCTTTCACATGGTTCTGTGCTCCTGCGCTGTTGCTGCTCCCGTTGCCACTCCCGTTACTGCTGCTCCCGCTGCTGCTGCAGAGGACCTCTGTAAGGTCGTCCATGATGGTGGTCTCTTTAGGGTCCACGAGGTTGAACTCCCTGATGAATAGGATAAAGTGTGTGTAGAGTGTGTTTAAATGTCCGTGCAGCTCCAGTGCCAAAGTCTCCTTAAAGTGTGAGGAGTAAATATGGGCCAGCACATGGAACAGGTACTTGCAGATCTTCTTCACTAGGGACTCAAATGAGTTTGGGAATTCCTTGCCTGAAAGGGAGACAGAGAAACACCATGATAGCTCCAGCTGCTCACCTTCAGCCCCACAGCAGCATTTGTTTGGGCTGAGCTGTGCGTAAGAGCAACTAGCCCACCCTATAGAGCAGACAACTTGTGGGCCCTGTATCATCCTCTCATCAATTCCTTTTTACAGGAATTCGGGGGAAGAATCAACAGACATTTTAAGCATTTTCATTTGAAGTTAAGTTTTTAACCCAAAGGATTCAAAAATCAGGAAGCAGTTGTAATCATTCTTTAAAACCCCAACATTTTTTGTTACTAGCTGTAAAAATAATTAGAGGTTCTTCTAGGTCCTTATCGAGTTTGTCCAGGAGTAGCAGATTTTTCCCCTGGAAGTAGATAATGCTTGGGAGACCAAGTCACAGATCCTGAAATGGCAGGTAAGGTAGCTAAGCCAAGATACGAGTCTTGGTATGGGGCAGCAGTTTGGCTAACTGTATGTAACAACTTCCTTCATTTCATTGTTGAAATGCTATCAAATGGAAAAAGAAATGGAAGGCAATACTGGGCGCCTTCTGTCAGCTGCAGCTGAAATTGTGGTTGCTGGAGCCGTACTGTGCCTGCATAGTAAAAGACGACAATTATTGAACAACTACTTTGGTAACACAAAGTGAAACTGAGGCAAGCAAAAAAGCAACACCTGCCATCCTGTGCTTGATGCCCAACATGTAGTATGTTACTGGTCTAAAGGGCACCTTAGCCACAAGGACAAATCACTTGCATGAAAGGCCCTTATTGAACTAGAAAAATAATATTGAAAAGAAAAAGGTCAACTGCAGCTGGCTTACTAGAAGCTGGCCTCTTCGCAGATCAAGATGTGTGTAAGCAAAGGTTACTAGCTCAACATTTGCTATCTGGTAATGTCCTAGTTCACCAACTACCTGTTGAAGGGGCTCAAGAAGCCAGCTGCTTTTAGTCCTGATGAAGCCCACCTGTCATAACTTCAGGTCTCTCTTTTTTTCCCCTTAACCAAAGGCACTGCTTGTAGCAATCTCATTAGGATACAAATTTGAGTTACTTTCCTATTGCTTTTCAACTCTTAAAATCACACTCTTATTTAATCTTTGGAAGGGAAGGGAGACTGCAAACAATCTGTGAGACAAGACCTGGTTTGGCAAGGAAAACAAGCCATATTCCTAGCAATCCAGTTTACTTCCCCCTTAATGCATCGGGACTCTGAAGGAAATAGTAAAACAACAACAAGGTTAAATTTTACTAGCAGCAGGCTGTATTGAACACATGCTGACAGTTTTCAAATGTTTACTCTCTCTGAATACAGGCTAGAAGATCTGAAAATGCTTGAAGAAAAAGATGTACTCCTGATAAAATATAAGCCCAGGGGACAGGATTGTGAGCCTTTCACCCCAGTTCATATGCCAACAGTGCACGTCTTTCTTACTGCAAGACTGAACCAAACTTGAAACCTCCCTTTAAAAAAACAAAACTATCAAACAAACAAGTGAGAAAGCTGTCTGGTATTAACACATATGCTGAATGCCAGCTTTCACCTTACTTATGGCATCTGCAAAGAGCTGGAGGAAGCACCTGTCCGAAAGCAGACATACCGTATTTTGTTGGAAAGACGTCCTCGTCTGTCACTAGTTTCTGCACTGAACTCATGACGAAGTCAACATACTGAGGAGCAGTGCACTTGATCTTCTTTCCCCGCTCATCATACCAGTAGTACTGTCTGTGGAGAGAATTGACAGTGTCACCACACTATACCTGGGCTCCTCAGCTCTACTCCTCTAAGAGGTTAGCATCTAAATAATATAAAACAACAGCTGCAACATTGCCAAAATACACCATAGCTGCTACAGAAGAGATTCACTTCAGGGTACCTTTCTACATCAAAACCCTTGAATTTCTGTTAGCCAATTTTGTTTCTCTTTACCAATTTAGTAGTAGCACTAAGCAGAGAAAGCCTGCTGACAAGTCTCTGGCGAGCAGCTCTACTGAGACAGTGATAACCAACTCCCTGCCCATGAGGGACTGGGGGTTTACTTACAATCTATACAACTGTACAGGAAACAACTATTTCTAAAGTGTAACGCCACTGCACAGTGATAAATTGCTGATGATGCTTAATATCACAAATTAGTCTTGTAGTGTAGTATTATCAAACAGACAGAAGGTGGCTCCAAAACACCGCTTTTTTTCAAGCTGGTGCTCTGCTGTACTGGCAGCAGTTTTAAGCACTACAAACTCTGTTCCACAATGCAATCTGGAGAGAGGTTTTGGGACCCTACCAGTGTGCCTTAGAACTCTGCTCCTTTGGTTACAGACACCCCAAAACATCTGAATTTTCATTTGACTGTGCCACCAGTGAATAATACTGTTGGATCTTAAGGAACAGGAGATATTAGCATATTTCCTGGCTCTTCAAAAGCCACCATAATTCAGTCAGTTAGCCATAATCATCTTGATTAACTGCAGCCATTCCTCACCTAATGGAGAATCTGAAGGCTACAAAAGCAAAAGCATGGAATGTTTTTTGGGGGGATTTTCTTTAAGTCATGGTTAATTAAAGCACCTCTCACTGTTACCAGGAGCAGCTCTCCATCGCAGTAGGCATGCACCGTGAGAAATGTCTTACAGATAAGGAATCTGGCAAAACACTTTTTTTTTCTTTTTTTTGCTGTTGGCACATTAAGAGTTGTCTTGAGTTCCCATTGCTGAACTCTTCCTTCAAACAGTCTAAGCTCCAGGTGCAGTCCTATATCAATCATGATGGGACTGATAAGAAATCCATTGTATTGGGCTTCCCAGAACACAGCACAGGTGCGGTTTGCTGACTGCCTTTGGAAGCAAGGTTGGAAGTGGTTTGAGCATCAGAACTTTGCTCGAAAGACATGAGCCCATAAAGCCAGTGTACCCTTTTTTTTGTCTGTCTGTTCAGCTCCAACTCCGCTGCTGTTGGCTAATGATCTGGCATTGCTCACACAAATCACTAAACAAGCCTCATTGTAGCCCTAGAGAAAATATGACTTCAGTGTGATGTTTAGCCACCTTTGGACACTTTTTTTTCATGGAAGACAAAGATTAAAGTTTAAATATTTTTTCTGTGCCTAGCAGGACTAGACTGCATTGAAGTGGAAGGATCTATACATGCCACTTGGGAAGTGGAATTTTATGTATACTGACCAGCAGAACAGTCCTGAAGCAACTAAAGAAGAGTTTTAAGTAGCAAATGAAAAGTTTTTATTTAAAATGTGTTTTCATTGCCCCAAAAGATTCTTCAGGTATCTGAGGGTGGTGAGGTGAAGACACTAATGACACTGTTCATGCCCCAAGCCATATGAAAACAAGAGGAAGCTCCAGAACTGAGTAGTGCAGACCTTGAGAGGAAGGGCAACTGAAAATTAGTTCTGCATACACTTAGAATTTTTCTTTCCGCTCATTTTCAGCATGTGGTGCTTGGTCACTCAGTTGTTTACTAGAGAGAGCAGGATTGACTGCAGGAGGGCATAAAAAGTTGAGCAAGTGGATGAAAACAGCAGGAGTTAAAAGCTCTTTGTACAGCTATGTCAGGCATAAAAACTAGCATTTGAGCCCTTAGGCTTCGACTGTGTTCTTCATCACTTCTTCTTTCCTTTATACAATCCACATACACGGAATTATACCATGTAGTGCACAAACATAAGCGACCTCATTTGTCTAGTCCTGCAGTAAGCTGGAACGGGACAGTTCCAGGCAACTCTGACTTACTTTGGCAGTTTTCTCATGCTGCAGAAATCCTCAATTGCAAGATAGAATGCATAGTTTAGAGTTGCCATTAGGTGCAAAAATCAATCTGAATAATTGGATTTTAGTTAAACAGTTTGCCAACTGTACAAGTTCACTTACATGAAAACATAAGCGAATAAACCTGCTGTAACATCCCACTGCATTCTCTTTTTTGCCTTTCCTTGAAAACTAGGCTAATTATGCAAAATAGGAATTTAAAAGAACAATCATTAAGAGTAATAGGATAACTACAAGGATTGTCCTGTTGATTAGAGTCACATCTTCCTTATGTTTCAAGTGCTGTGAACAGACTCTTCACAGGTCTAGGAGGAAGAGAGGAGCCCCTGCCATGCCGTGAACATCTCACACCTGGTACGCAGCTCCCACCCATGCTGGAGTTATCTCCGTCAGCAAGATAGGAAGCAGGCTGGGGCCACCGAAGGGCTCAGCTGGGCACAGAAGCATAACTGCATTCCAGCACTGGCACTGTGACAGTGCAGTCCCATATTAGGCAATGGATGCGAAGCAGAAAGGACAAGACGACGACATTTAAAGGTACTTTCCAAAAGTGCTCACTTGACAGAGATTTTGATTATTTCCTATCTATCTAAAATTCTGGCAGATTTAAACTTCCCCAGTATGGAGAGCATGAGGAATCTGCAGGTCCATTCTAAATCCTAGGGAGAAATTACTATGGGTTTAACAGAGAAAAGCCTGTGATGCGAATAATAAAGTACAACACATCTGAAGTCACAGTGCTGCGTCTTCATGTATGCACAAATTTTATCCCTTCTAAAACATTCTAGGTTTGTGTTGATGACATAGAAGCCAAGGCAGAACAGCAGTTACATCAGTAAAAAAGAAAAGCTTCTGGAAGGAAGGGCAAATGCTGTGGAGGTTATGTGGTCTGGAAAAAAAAAAAGACAGACAGTCCTGCTAGAAATACCAAAAGATGGGTTATGAAGAAAGCAGAAGAGTAAGGGCAGTAATATAGGGCTTGTCAGCAACTCAGAATAGCTTTGATGGTTTGACAAGGGCAAAGCAACGTTTAGATGGGGGAAAAAAAAAAAAAAAAAAAAAAAAAGAGAAAGGAGCTACCATACAGCTCGGGGAACTTATAAATACAAGAAAATGTAAAACATGCAAGTCCAAGTTAAAATTTCTTCAAGGAAATACTCTCCATATGCAGAAACACTAAAGGCACGGTAGACATGAGAAAGGAGATTTTAAAATTAGAAAAAAATTAGTAGTAGGGAATTACCAATCAATGGATTTCACTGGACCAAAATGAGACCTTTCACTCTTATCTGTAGGCTGCCTAGAAGTTTGCATCCATCCTCGACTTCTGCCTGAAGAGTTTTGTAATCTGTCTTGGGAATAGCACTTACCTAGGCTCTTAGTTATCACTTCACTACTTTTGAGAAGTTTTGCCCAAATGTCAGCTAGAAAGCCAGTTTACAGCTCGTGGTGCTTTAAAGCTAGTTTGTGTAACAATAAGCTATAAAGCATAGTAAATCTAAACAGTAAATACTGTGTTAAAAATATACTACCTGCTTTACAGCAAGTGTTAAACATATAAATTAGCACAATTAAGTAACTCCCAAAGTTACATTCACACCACCCTCATTAAATTTTGAAGATAACTGGCCATTCTGATATTTCTCTTGGCATTATCCCACCTTGCCAGCAAATGCTTCCATCTGTTCTACAAGGAGACTAAGTTTTGGTCAGATGTTTCTTAGTAACCCTAGGCAGAAATTCTCTTCCTCATTGTGTGCGGATGGCTGTGCTATCTCATATATCTGACAGAGGGCTGAAAGCTGCATCTGTCTGCAGTTTGTCACTTGCCTGGAGCTTCTCTGAGATGTTAGAAACCTTACCTCAAATATTTCACTGCAACTGGTGTTTATTTTGCTAGCAAACCCTCTAAACTTAGGACCGAGTATTTGCAGTGCATTTGAATGCAAAGTAAATGGACAAGCAACCTGTTCTCAATAGTTACTTCAACATCTCAACCAGAAACACAAAAAGCCCTCCTTCCTTAGGTGTGACCAGAATGGTGTGATCCAAAATAAGCCTTAGAGCTGGGGGCATGGAAAACATCAAAGAGGGACAGAATGCAGACCTTCATCCTGAGCAGCACTGAAAAAAATGCCAAACTGCACCCTTATTCAAAGGTACTGTAGTTCTGTGTCAACCTCATAAAGGTAGATGCTGTTTTATTCCAAAGTACCCGAACAAACAGATTACTGCCACAGAAGGTCAGATCTGGAGTGACCATGAAGCTGCTCAGCAACTGACTCTTAGTTTAGGTGGTAATCTGTATACTGGAGACAGGTCAGAGGCACAATCTATCATATCAGCTGTTGTTTCTCCAACGCAATAAGCGTGTCCCTACCTTACTTTGTTAGGGCAAAAAAACAAAACAAGAAAGGGGATGGAGAAGAAGCACATGGCTTTGTCATAGTCATAATCTGCATGAACAAATGAGCTGCTTTGAGGCAGTTCTCCATGTTCCATTTAGGCATATCTCTTCCAAAAGGGAAGAGGTAGGAAAGGCGTAACGTAAAGGATTATCCAAGATCGTCATTAAAAATACTTGGAGAACACAATTATGAACAGGGCCTTCAAACTGTACTGAGGTGTGTAGCTAGGTGATCTCACCTCTGTGGTTTTTTCATAGACCTCTACACTTGACAGAAGAATGAAATACGCAGCCTACAGTTTGCGAACATGAATCAGCCATCTGTCCCTGAGTACAGGAAGATACTGAAGTTGTTATGATTTAGCTAAACACAAACTGTTTCAAGTGCTTCACCCAAGTGCAGACATGCTTCCTGTTATTCCCAAATAGTGCAACTTTTCAATTTTCCAAAACAAAGGATAGGAACATTCTGCTATTGGTCCTCACCGCTAAAAATACAGACTACAGCTGGAGGCACCTACAGGCACTTCCTTTCTTTATTCTGCAGCATAAACTGCTTCCAGAGAACTCTTGTTTAAGACCCAGTAGAGCAGAATGGAGCGATACTTATGTAGGTTCCGTACCACCATCTCCTTTTAGCTACTATTTCCCATCCGCCAAGTGGATAAACAGTTAAACTCAGTCCTTTGGACAGCCAGTGCTACATCAGGAATTAAAACAGGAGAAACCTTGGGAGCAAGAGTCAACAAAATACTCATCTTACTGATCACCATTTCTCATTTAGAGACACACTGTCTCCTCCTGATAAAATCTGGGTCCACCCTGCTTTCAAAGTCCCTAGCATGGCTTTAATTCTCTACTGACAGTTATCTTTCCAACTTTTACATGCAAAAATATCCTCCGTGCACTTTGCATTCTTCAGAGTGCTCTCAAAGAAAGCCCCTGATATTAATTTCAAGTGTACAAGGTAGCCTAGTACATGAAGCAAGGATTCCTTTCTAAGCACTATGTAATTATTGTTAGAGACATACTGTAGAGCTCTGGTTCTGGTGCATACATGCCCTGGTATGTTTGTTTGATGTACTGTAACATTAACTGCTCAGTCTTCTGTTTTAAAATCCATCTCAACTAAATTAATCCCAGGAAATGCATGAGGAGGGAAGAAAAGGACTATCAGCACATGTGCTGGAGAAAAAAAACCCACAACACAACAGGCTTATTCATACTTGACTAGATCTCATATTCCATCATGTTGGGCTGTGCTAATCAAGAGCAGGAGTTTATGGTAACTTTTTCTTACATTCACTACATACAGTAAAACTACAAAGCTTGCTTTCATAAGTGACAGCTAGTCAACATTTAAAAAGTCTACTAAGTCCTACAGGGGGAGAGTGCCAAACCAAAACGTTTTCCTTACTCTGTGCAAAGCTGCCACTTGTGTCCTCTGTGCCCAGGGGCTCAGGCAGAAAGCCAGTGGCTCACGTCAAGCTAGAGGTTATCCGTCAGCAGCCTGGTGCTCTGTCAGCATTCCAGCTATCAAAAGCACCCTCGGAGGTTTTAGCAACTCGTTTATCCTCCCCAGCCTTCTATGGAATCCCAGCACTGTTACCAGTATGGACAGTTCTGCCTTGCTCTTCTTCCCCTCTCCCCACAAGGCAGTCATTTGCCTCTGATCTGACCTTATAAAACCAGCTCAGAACAGTCAAAGACTCTCATCCTTCTAGTCCTCCACAAAAACAGATTTCCACCACCCTTCACTGCCGAGGGGAGAGAAGAGGATGTACAGCTGCCACGTTCTCACTCAGTAGGATCTGCTGTCACACACTTGCCCAATGCCATCCCATACCAATATCCTCCACCAAGCAACTGCATGGAAACCTTGTAATTGTAAATATTGACTTACGTATTGCACACTGCCATGGTCTGACATGACTCTCCTGTACAGAATTCTGAGATTGTACTATACTGTAAGTTGATGTGATGAAAGAAAGTTGTTGCTGAAAAATAAACACAAAGGAAAGAAATTCAGAAATAAAATACTTTCAAACCCTGGTTATCCTCCAGACAATTATTTAAACAGAGCAAGTGAAGTGACCTCAGAGTCTTGAGCTTGCATACAAATTTAAACACGATTTAGCTAAACAAGTCTAATGATGAACTGCAAAACAAAGAGGTACACAGAATGAAAGCTCTTGTTTTGATTTAAGATGAAAGCACCATGATGCATCAGCTCTTATTACTCACTAAGCAGCAAGACTGGAAAGTGTCTCCATCGCCAGCCTCACCTTTACCGTAGAATACTCTGCTACAAGCTGAAGGCAAACAATTTGCTATGTTCTTTTGAAGTCAGACTTCAAATGTACAGTGGCTAGAAAACACCATTAGTAGTTCTCATGACATATCTCCTTTTTAAAAAACAGCATGAAAACTAGTACACTTCTACTTTTTAAAAATCTCCTGAGATAAATTTAACATCTTAATACTCCTCAGGGGGCACCTCACTTTTTCTTAATGAGTGTCTATAAAATTTCCCAGTGTACAGTTTAAAGTAGTTGCTTGCTACTAGCACATACTGTTGAAAATGTAAACAAGACTGTGTCACAGCTGCAGGTCAGGACTGGCAGATGAAGCAGAGGCACAAGACAGTGTGGCAAATCAGAACTGAGATGCACAGATACAGCATTCAGTCACAGCAGTCAGTCACATCTCTGAGTTCCAGCTTGACTACCATTTACATTCACAGTCATTCCACCAAAGCTTGGAAGGAGTGGGGAGAAGAAATCCAACCAAAGGACTTCAGAACTTCTGGCTTTAAGCATAACTTGTTTTACATACAAGTTAATAAACTACCATTTTTATAATGCTTCTGGAAGATCAGCAGCTTGAGTCAGAAACACGCTGAACCATCCAGTTTAGCAAACAGTCAAAGGGAATCTGATGGTCCCCAAAAGAGCATCAAAAATTTTAATGCCCCAGTGAGGGAGCTGGAAAGAGGAAACGCATTGATGCTTCCATGCTGCTAAGCACAACTGGTTTGTACATAAGACAGCTTAATTACTATTCAAGGATAATGACATGCCTTATGCAGTAAGCATAAATAGCCACTGAGTGTTTTTTTAAGCACTGAAATCAGTAAAAAGCAACAGAGTGAATGAATGCCTTCTTGGGTGTGGACAGCAAGCTGAGAGCTGTGTGATCACAATACTCACTGTTGCTGGCTAGCCACTCGTTGAGGTCTATTTCTCGTGGTAACATCACTAGCTCTTTAAATTCAAAGTCAGTAATTCTGGATTTTGTGTATTCTGGCTCTAGGTAAAGTTTCTTCTCTTCTGGTGCTGGCTTTTTACCATTTGGCTTTCCCTTGGACTTCCTGCAAGAGATTAAAAAGAGAGAAGAAAGGTTACCTTCACTGTAGATGAACTGCTACAGAAGCCTGAAAGAAGCTGGTGGCTCCCAACTCCTGTATTTGTGTTCACACTGTTCCTCCTGCCTTCCCTCCCCTTAGCTTATGGCTTGTTTTTATTAAAGCAAAAGATAATTTCTTTAAAAGTTTATTTGAACTCAGTCACTTTTTTCACATAACATTAGAAGTTTTGAATGACATTAAGAAACTCCAGACAGAGCTGCTCCATCTCCATTGCCCTTCTGTCAGTTTAGATTGCAAATTATTGGGAGAGTGACAGTCTCTATGCCTATGAATAGTCGTGACAGCGGGACGGCACTGTGCCTGAAGGAGCTAACAGTCTGCTGCATCATACCTTTAACTGTCACCTGCAAAACCGCAGTTTGAGGGGCAGTAAAAACTGACTGCTGCAAGATAGCTCTCAGTCAGAAAAATGCTCTGTCCACACAATGTGCTGGCAGTGCTCGTTCAGAGCGACAGCATTCCTCGCTGCTCCAGCCCTGCGTTCTCTGAGATTCCAGAAGCCTTCTGGAAGGGAGCATCTTTGACTCCAGCCAGAAGCACTGATCACTACAACATCTGCTTCCTCCACTCACAGGATACCTGAGAGAGGAAGATCTTAAACTTTTTCTGAAAATCCTTTAAAATCTGATGCATTACAAAATAACCTTCCATTTGGATTTATAAAATCAGACAAACCAGAGTCCATAAAATGCATTTATCTCCATGGCATATTGTGACTCTTCATCTATTTCTGAAGTGTTGTTATCACTAGAGTTTTCCTCCCACTCTGTTTTTAACATCCTCAAACTAAACTCTCAGCCCAACCCATATTCCTGGGCTGGGGGCTCAGCAGTAATGACTTCTGAGAAGGGATGGCGAGGCAGCACTTTGGTCTTTCACGCTGTGCAGTCAAACAGCGTAGAGTGTCTGCTTCTAGAGTTAGAAAATCCACCTAACCAGAGACAGAAGAGCTACTTAACGGTGAGGGATAAGTACAGTAAGGCAATACTTGCTGTGTACTATCACATGAATACAAGGAGGAGATGCCAGGATTTTTTAAGATCAGGTTTTCTTGGTTAAAAGAAGGATCTGCAAAACCAAGACAAGCTCACCTTCGCAGATGACTGCATTAAAAAAAATAATAAAAAAATTATTGCCATTGAAACTCATCTAGATCCCACCCATAGGAAACTGACTTCGCATTCTGGCTCTTAACTTTAAATAATCTTCCAACTGTGCCCTTGTCTGAGAGGCTTGATTTTTGCTGTGAGGATGGGCTCCACATCCTTCCTGGAACAGTGTTTGAAGTGTCAGTGCTTTCCCCAAAGAAAGTGTGATTACTGAAATTTTTCTCTTCATGGGCTCTTTACTGATCTGTTCATTAAACCCATCCTCAGAATGACTCATCGTCCACATCATCAGCTCTGCAGTAGGGACAGACCGAGACTGGCCTTCCACAACACAGGAACACCGTAACAGTACAGCTCCGTCACCAGAACCACCACTGTTACTGTCCTGAACTTGCCTGGAGTCTTGCCTACTTCTCTCTAAGCGCTGAATTAAGACGAGAGGGACTTTAAGGCTTCAGGAAGGCCATCAACAAGGAAAAATCAAGGAAAACTTAGTGACAGCGGCACAATGTACACTTACATCCTCACAATAGGTTTACACAGGACAGATGTGCAGGAGGCGCTGCAGGAGGTGTCTGGCAGGGAGAAGGTGGTCACACTATTTCTATATGTTAATGAAAATAGGGAGAGGACGCCTGTGACATAGAACATCTTTTTAAAGAATACAAGTATGAGAATAAACTAAAACCAGTGTTTGTGAAGATGAATTTAGCACATCGCTACTCTTGCACATTTCCTGCTATCTCCTCTTTCCACAGCACCGCATTCCCATTCAAATGAAGCCTGCAAGGTTTGTGCCTTACACTTATTTAATGAAGCAACCTGGACTAATTCTCATAGGTGCTCCACAAAGGGATGTTTGAGGACATACAGACTCAGATGTTCCTCAGCGCAAGGCTGAGGGGTTGGTCCGTTAGACCAACAGCTCCGGTTGTCAGTTAACTCATCTTGTCTTCAAACCCCTCCATTCGCTAGATGCTGTTTGAACCTCTCCATGTAAAAACAAGCTACAGGTAAGAAACCTCACCATGTGAAAACAGGAAAGAAACTAAAGTCCATGAAAGCAAGAACTGCGGGGGGGCCTTAAAGGTATTTAAAGCAGCTATGAAAGATCTACTTAATTTATCTTTGGGCCCAAGACTTCAGTTTTTCACAGAACTTGAGGTGATATTCAAGGAAAATGTAATAGCGTAACACAACAGTCTCGTTCGCCGGTCTGTAACCTGACTTTACGGAGGTGAGGCAACATGTTTGACCTCTTCCTTGTGCAGGAAAACCATGTTGAGACTTGAAACTACCTTATCCCGACAGTCAACAGCATAAATCCAGTTGAAACTATGCACTTGGTCCCCAGCTAGTAAAAAATACTCCAAGGCCACTGATTTGCTGAATTCCCAGCACCGGCTGCCTTACTCCTACGCTGCTGAAACCCAGCCTGGCACACTCCATACGGCACCTTCGTACCTGCTGGGCCTCCGACAGACAATATTCAAAATACTCTCTAGGGGTTTTTCCAGACCGTTGGGTTTAGTGGGCTCTGGTTTTGGGGGGCAGGATTCGAGCACCGAAGGGTAACTTGATTTTTCACGAAAAAGAATATTTCCAGTAAAATCATGCAGAAAATACTTTCAACTTCAGAGATGGGTTTGACAAACCACATTAACCACACTTGGGAGAAAAAAAGCGATCAGTGACAAATAGTTTGGATAGAACAGAATTTGTGTCTTTGCTTTACTTCAGGATACTGAAACCAAGGGCCCCAGGGTAGGACTGTGCCACGTCAGCTCAGAGCAGGCTTCTGAGAGGAGGAGGAGCGGAGAGAGAGCCCAAGAGGTCAAAGACAGTCTGTCATAGAGCCAGGCTGGGGAGGGAAACCACAGGAGGAAGCCAGACGTACGAGGCTGAGGTAAGCCTTCCATTGAACAGAAATGGATAGCGTGCACCTCCTCACTTCACATTCCTCGCCATTGCAAGAGAAGAAACAAGAATTCAACACTAAATATATTTCACAAGTTTGCTAATGCCAATGACTATACATTGTCCTTTTACAAACCCCAAACCTCCCCTTTCCACAAAAATGTCAGTTCTCTGTTAGATGAGTCCATGCAGCCACTTTGATTCTTTTCAGCACATTGTGTAAGTCTGTCCACAACTGCCTTGTGCTGGAACTGAAGCATTTCAAACAGAAGCTTCCTGAAGGATCCCATCCTCTGCCCTTTTCCAATGCTTTTGCTCGGTTTAAAAAAGAACCTGACTCATGGGTATCCTCACTGAACCTGCAAAATGCCCAGAACCACTGTATCAAAGGGTTTACTCTGGAACCTGAACGTCAAATCACCACGTGCAGTACACTCTTCTTTTAACCTTTGACAGCTGCTGAGAACTAAAGCGAGACCACAGAAATTGTTCCTACCAGCAGATTTTCATGACCTGCATGCAGTGCAGTTGGGATACTACATAGCCCATGTATTTTAAGTACAAACTGAAAAAAGAAAAAAAAATTCCAGTGTTAAAAACATCAAGTTTTGAACTGGAGCACACACCTTCCCTTCATTAGGCGGAACTTAGGTTACAGAGTCAGACTTACTCGTATTAATTGAGTCACGCTCCGTCTAGGTTGTAAAACTGTGGGTTTCGTTTGGGAACTGTCAATACTAGTCAATACTAAAGCATTTTCTTTACAGACTTACAGAGCTGGAGCATACATCAGTACAGAGAAAACCAGTTTAGAAACATGATTACATACGATTAAGAATCAACAAATAATAGTTCCATATTCTAGATAAACCAAAGCTCACACATCCACAATGAACAGAATTACAAATAGTGTAAAGCTCAGAAGTTACCTTCCTTCTGCTCTCCCCTACCTCCAAGGTCACTGTTGTTTCAAAGACTTGTAAGAATATACCATCTACCTGGAACCATCCAAATGTGCAAAACAAAGCATACGTGTTTTCCTTTGTTGTGAGCTGCTCACATTCAAGATGCCTTCCTCAATTTTTCATTTTATGTTTAAAGTACACAAATACAAAAACATTTCTGAGATTTCCCAGAACACCCTCACAAGTGAAGACTATAGCAGCGAGCATCAAGCAGGACATTCAGCAACAGCACCTTCAGTCTGCTTCCAATGACAGGAAAAGTGGCAAGAACAGCAGAGCTTTGCTGTTCTATTCAGGAGACACCAAAATCCATGACCTGTAGATGACTGCTTACTAGAAAATGTACCTAAATGTTACATAAGACCACAAAAAGAGCAATGCCTCTCAAAACAGAGATATAGCCACCCTAAGGCAAACCAAAGTCCTGATTCATGTTTACTTGTGTCTTTCTTTAAAAATAAGAGATTTCTGCTAAATGTGTCTTAACACGTCCATGACAGATGAACTATAGCTCCAAAGCAGCTGGAGGAACAGCTGGTGAGCAGCAGTTTGGTGAAGGTCTGTCAAGAGGTTAGACCAAAACCTGTCTATCAATGCTTAACTACTAATTAATCAATGCTTAACTACTAATTAAGGGAAGAAACACCTTTAGAGAATCCAAGGAGACAGCACTCAGCAGTTTCTATTGACAGGCAAACCAGAGTACAAACTAATTCTTCAGCTAACTCCCAGGATAGGTTTGTGTTTGGTTGGTTTTGGGCACTCAAGTGAAGGTGATGCCACGGGCCACGTCACACCCACAAGGAAGTTAGAGAGGGAGAAGGGAGATGGCAGAAGAGAGGCCACTCGTCTACAGTCTCAGAAGAAGATTCCGCAAACTGGCTCCAGCCACAGACAGTACATTCACTAACGCTTCTAGCAGGCCTTCCGTACGCAGCCTCGCGTTCAGCTG